ATGACTCACTTATTAACAGTGATTTGCTGCCACCTGCTGGCGGTTTTAATGACAAATTTCGGCTTTTTCTTTCTTTTCTTTTTTTTAATTTTTTGAATGTTTTAAATCATTTCAAATATCAGTATTCAACGTGTTATGTTTAATATATCAAAACATTATTTATGCATTTGTAATTGCAGATTAAATGCATTCATGTCTTCCATTAAACAAAATACATGGTAAAAGCCCAAATGTGTTATTATTCTAATTCCCTGATTAAATGTAAGAATTTGACTCAAAAGATAATGGACACTTTTAGAAAAAATGGCTTTATAAAGGTAAAAATGCCCATAAAATGCAAAAATCAGTTTAAACTTACTGGAAAAGATTAATTTCTATCAGTATGAACTGACCACCACACAGAATATGAAGAATATTAAAAACATTAGGAGTCAGCTGTCTTCAGCAGTCCTTAAGGTACCAGCACAATAACACACTCAGCAAAATATCGTCTAATTATCGTTATCGATAAAATCCCATAAAATATCGAGATATCATTTTTTTGTCAATATCGCGCACACCTAACTGTTCCTTGTTACATTGTATGTCAAACCAAAAAATGCTTTGGTATTTATATTATTCTTCAGATAATATTCATATTGCTACCGTAAGTGCTTAATCAAAATTTCAGGGGATTTCCACTTTCACTTTACAAAGGTGTTGTCTGCCATAGCAATGTTTTATTGTGAGTCATTGGGAAGTATTCAAGGGTCTTTATACAGGACCAAATAAATGTTTCTGGGCTGCAACCGAAAGCAAAGGCTGCTGCATTAAGAACAATGTAGTAGTGTTTCAGTTTTCACTTGGCAGCAAAAGTTACTTTCACTATCAGACTGGCACAGCTTACTCCGAAGCATCGGCAACACTGACACAGTTGCCATTTTGGACGAAATAATTGACGTTTATGAATTAAATACTCCTTTCAGCTGCTTCATCACATGCCATTTGTGCTTTTTTTACACCAACTTCAGAACTGCACACACAGGATTGTGGGGTATCTTAGTTAGCGAAAAACATCTACTGTATGCTGCCTTCATAAACTGACCTCAGTAGACAATTGTTAGGCGAATATTGTATTTGGTTGTGTCTTGGTGTCTTCCTACCTCCGTATACTGCAAAAACAGTGTTTTTTATTTTTCAGATGTATATCACAATATATATTAATTTCAGAAGATGGGAACACATTGTGCTCAGTATATGGAAGCATTTCATTTATGGTATTAGTAGTAGGGGTTGGGATCTGTTCATGGCATGTATATATAATCTCTTCTATATTAATTCCTAGTAACAAAGGAGAAGTGAGATGGAGATGTGGTCTCATGATTCGTCCATGCACAGGACATTAGCGCCATTAGTTTTCTTCTGGAAAAAGTACATGCGAAACTGTCCTCACCTGACCTGGTTGTCCTTAAACACAGTGTATTATAAAGCAGACAAATGGACTCTGATGAGGGGATTTTTTTATCCAGGAACAAAAGCATAGATAATTGGCTTTAGTATGACGAGGAGGAAATTAAGCATTGCAATGAGTGTGTCTCGCGGCTGCTGTGCAGTCATGGTTCCATTTGAGGACGTACTGTCTCGGGTGAGAAAAGCTTTACAGGTCAGCCCTAGCCTACTGCACGAGCTTCTCAGAGAGCTGCACGAGGACAATGTCTTCTCCACCCAGTATTACCAGTCTCTCTACAAGGATGGTGAAGATGGAGAGCAGCATTTGCGTGACGTTTTTTATAATGATCCAGAAGATCTGGCCAGAAGACTCTCTTTGCCTATCTGGCAAAACTGGGACATCAGTCAAGGCATCCTGGATTCAGTACTCTCCAAAGAGGAGGATATGGTTCCTTCTGGTAAGTTAAATAGTCATCTTTAAATATTTTTATTTACACTTTCTGTGTCTACTCAATGTGTATTTTTAATATTTTGCACTACACTGTTTAAAAATAAAGGTTCTTTATTGCCATTTATTGTTCTGTGAAGAACCTTAGTCAATTCATGGAAGCTTTCCATTCAACAACATTGTATTTATAGTTGAAAAGGGTTCTTTAGATTGTTAAAATGTTATTCACTCTAAGAAAAATTGTTCTTTTAAGAACTGTTCACTGAAAGGTTCTTTTGCTGCTAAAACCCACCTTTGGAAACTTTTTTTTTTAATTAGAGGATCACGTTCGTAAGTTGGCCATAGAATGAATCAGTAATAATAATAAAAATAAAATAAAAAGTGGTTGTGAAAATGTAGAACAGTGCTGCGTTACTGAGAAATACATGAACATTTAGCTTTTCAAATAATGAGCATATATATATATATTTACATACATACACACACACACTGGTCGAATTGTAAACAATTTCAGGGGGATGGTGTGGTCAATTTATTTGGTGGGGCAGGCGGGGGGTCCTGTAGCTAATTTTACACTGATTTGAAATTTGTCTAATTTTTAAACATTGTTAGTTAATGAAAAAGCTTTATTAAACGAACTATTATTTATAGGCTGTTTTCCTTCTGGGGCCTGAAATGGAGGAATTTTGGTCAATACTGATAAACGATATTTTGCTGAATGTGTTTGTGCTGGCACCTTGTCTGGTTTAGGCTTGGAATGGATAAATAAATATTACAATAAAACTGTCAGTAGGTGGCAGCAAGTCCCTGTTTTAATAAGTAATTTGTTGAATAATTCAAATCAAACGATTCGTTCAAAATGGCTGATTCAATTAGAAACTAAACACTCGATTCGTTCAAAAACATTCATTCAAGGAACAACCCGTGTTGCTCTGCACTGTTGTTTAAAATGAATAGCACATTTGTAGGCTTCATCATGCAGTCAATGCTGCGCTGCTTTAGAGAAGAGGAAGAGAAAACTAAAAAGCAGGAAATGATTAGTGCGTTTCTCAGAGAAGGGACAGAGCTGTGTGGAATAAAGGTAAATTATGTGAAAAATAAATGTTTTTTTCAAAAAGAAGCATTAACACATGTTAGACTGCACCCCATAAACACAATCAAGCCTAGAAAAAAAACAGTGAACCACCCCTTTAAAGTAAAAAGGTGTTTCAACAAAATACTGACACAAGGTGGTGATCCTTTTTCCAATGCAGTGATTCTGTTTGTTGTTTTTTCATGACATGTTGGTGTTATATCTTTCACTTGGATGTTATAAGTTGCAGTGAGTAAATACAGCTGGATAAAACAAAAACTTTAATCTTCCATCTTGCGTTTCCATCTTCATTTCACGCTGCAAAGCAAAAAAATGTGATCATTTTAAAGAGGGGTGATCCTTTTCTATACCCACTGTAGATGAGTTTGTTTCTTCATGGGAAGAAATTACATAATTTGACAATAATTACATCATTTGCTCACCAATGGATCCTCTACAGTGAATGGGTGCCGTCAGAATGAGAGTCCAAACAGCTGATAATAAACAATAATCCACAAGTAATCCACACATCTCCAGTCCATCAATGAACTTTTCAATGAAATTTTTACTTTAAACCGTCACTTTTGGCCAAAATACCAGTCCATAATAATCCATAAAACTCCTTGACTTCCTCCTTTTGTCCTCTCGCATCAAAATTCCCCTACATATTTGTTTAGGACTGTTTTGAACTGTTGTAACTTGTAAACAGTGCTTGAGCTGTGCATATTTCTCTCCTGATTCAGATGAGACGACTTTTTCAATGGAGAGGCAATAATGTTGTGGATAGAGGACTCATATTTTAGCCAGTAGCAATGTTTGTTAGTTAAAAACATCTTGATGGATTTGCTTATTAAGAACACACAGCTATTCGCTTCATTTAGGTGAACTATTCCTTTAACCCTTTGCACAAAGAATGACTTCACTGCAGTAGCAGCGCAACAAGAGGGTGTGAATTAACGTTTTAAAATAACGCTGCAGCATACTAGGCCAGCTGTGAAACTGTCAACTATACATGTAAATACTGTCCACATTTACTTTACATGCTTAATATTGCTATGTGTTGCAGCTCTCACCTCACAAGGCAGTAGTTAACACTGCCTGACAGGATGCACCTGTAATTAGTTCTCTCACAGATACTAGTCACTTTCTAAGCACGCTGTGTGGCATAGACTCTGAAGTGTTTTTCTTCCATGGGGACTGTTGATCGAAAAGACAAAAAAAAAAGAACACTGAAAGATGTCAGGGTCAACCCCAAAAGGAGCCACTACAACTTCTAATGGTAGACGCCCTCCCTCAGTATAACATATGACTTGACTGTGAGATATTACCTGCGTCCCAAATGACGCACTATACACTTTATGCACTTATACATTATTTACTTATGCACTATGTACTCAACCATATAGGCTTGTGCATTAATTATTTAAGGTTATTTTGTCATTCAGCATCAGAGTCTGATACCCCCGGTTATTTAAAGTGCACTTTTTCTTTTTGGAATTTTCAGTGTGAATGCACTACTCGCACTGTTTATACTACAAAATGTCATAGAGTAGTGCATAAGTACGCGATTTGGGACACACCTATGGTAAATTAACGTAAATGTGATGCCAACGGCAAACCAGGCCAGTTGGCAAGAAAATTTATAGTATGTGCAGTGGTAATACAAAACTGAAAGTAAACAAAGTACTTGTTATACCAGTCTGTGATCCTTGGACAATATTTTTGTTTCATTTTAGAAGGAGGATGGCATGTTTTTGGAGCTGGGAACTTCACTGTAAATGACTTGTTTTAGGATTTGCAGATGGTTGTTTTCTTTTTGGCTGGTTTGTTTTGGAAAGTCAAATAATAATTGGCATTACAAAAGCATAACCGGTGTATTATATAAAACCAGTCTGTTAAAAAAAAAAAAATGGACACAACAGACAATGGAAAATACCTGCCACTCCTGGGTAGTGCACAGGAGCGCCAAGCTTAGAAAAAAAAAATTGGGTCAACATGAATTGCTTTGTTTCAGCTTCTTAAAAAAACACAACAGTAAGAGTTCCTTACTTTTAAATTATATAATATATTATAATATATCAATATATCAACCTGTTTGAGCATGTTTGTTACTGTAAAATGTACTGATATTAACTGTTGATAAAAAAAATAACTTGATAAAATGGAAGGCCACATGACTACTTAACATAATCACATGACAGTTCAGTAAACATGAACATTTTTTTTATTTACAACAGTTTGCTGTAAAAAATACATGTATTCTCTTTTAAACTATTTTTATACTTTAAAATGTTTTAGCTTTAAAATACTTTATATTAGCCGGCAACATTTGAATAAGACTAGAGCTGGAACAGACACGACCTAAAAACAAACAAAAAAAGATAATAATAATAAATAAATACATAAATAATTGTAAAAATAGCCTATTATTTCTGTCTCATTTCATTATCTCCATCATCTCAGAAAATTCAAAATTATCAACAGGACGCAGAATATGTCCTTCGTGAGAGAACAGATTTGCTAAATGACCTAGGCTGGTTGAGTTAGGTATTTACCGAGCAAAACCAACTCCCATCAATACTGAAACTAAAAGCACGCCGCAGTGAAGGTGTAGCCAGTTTTGGTGTTTGCCAGACAGTGCCTGAGCCTGTGTAATCTGAGGACACGTCGAGCGCTTATTACAGTAAAAAACTTTAATGCAATGGATTAATAATTCTTCAGTAAACATGGAATATCTCTGTGAAACAGGTAATGTACAAAGATATTTTAATTTATTAGACAGTTTTATATTTGTTATGCGTCATAACCCAACACCTTTTACTTTGATGGTGCAAAACAGTCATTTATATAAAATGTGCAAAATAAAACTATAATTTGAATATTCAGACAAATGTTTTTATATCAGTAACGCGCTTTTCCCCTCGTGTTGTTTTATTTTTTCACAGAAAGGGCGCGCGCTCCACAGCATTAAGCGGTTATTAATAGCGTACTACAAGATTTCCCTGTGGCACGTTTATGTCTTGAATAAAAATAATGCAATATAATGTGTCACTGTGTTACAACAGATGCTGAATCGCAAGATATTGTCCCAGACCCAATGTCTGAACTTTTACCTGGTGAGTAGCCTAATAGATGCGCAGTACTTGTTTTAACGTGGTAAACAAATGTAGCACTGCATTTGGCATTTGAGTTTTCAAATGAGAGATTTAGTTACTATTTTCACAGACAATGTCATCTTAGAATATCTCGACTCACTTGAGGAGTTTATTGAAGAAGATTTCGGTCAGTTTCACTCATTGCCCTATATTATTGCATAACAATGTCATGTAAATGTCATGAAGGCTGTAAATAATTTCCTTGTGTCTTGGCAGATCCCAAATTCTTTGATAACTTTTCAGGTAAGACTCTGTAAAATAATATAATTGGAATAGAATCAGTTCTTGAATCACATATGACATTAACATGTTTGAAGTTAAAGTGGAATCAGTGCATTTGCATGTCACACTGTTTTTTCAAAAATAAAGTGAATTAAATTTAGTAAGTCTTTCACATCTGCTTTGCTAACAACAGTTGACACAGACACAACCTGCACGCCAATACCAGAAGATGCTTCTTTCCCAGATGAAGTGCAAAGCAGAAAGCGAAAAGGTAATACTATTTTCTCTTAAATGTTCTCTAATAAAAGATCTGCATTGAATTCAGTATGTAAGAGGTGTGTTTTCTATCTGTCAATAGTTGATGCAACTTCAGACAAAACCCGCAGATCCAAACGCAACAAAAAAGGTCATTCAAACATCACAATGTAACATTGACTAAATTATTGTAGGTGGTTTAGTGGTGGGAACCAGAAGTACCGCGGTGGATTATTTGACTCCCAAAAAGTAGTTTTAAGCAATATATATATATATTTTTTTTTACTTCTGTTTGTAAGTAACTCATTTCTAAAAAAAAAAGTTGTTTGAACTGTCTACTTATTAAAAAAAGGAAGGAAACATATTTGTGATAACTGAGACTCTGTCTAATAAAACACAAGTAAAACAGAAAATCTAATGTCTGTATTGCAGCAACAGCGTGGCCTGAAAGTCCCTCAAACGGAAGGCTGCCCAACATTACCCCTGAGAGTAGTTTCCATCTGAGCTCAAACCCATTCCAGCATGTATTACGCATTCCCTTCAGCCCCCCTCTTCTGCCCCCTAGTGGTGAGTGGCTGTTTTCATACAGTATTTGCATTTCAAGAAACTACTGTAGGCCTTGGCTTTGACCTCTGACTATGAGTCTTTGAATTTCTCAGGAGGTTCACCACTACAATTCATCCAGACCATCGGCCCTTATACGGCGCCTCTAATTGGCACTGTGGTTCCAACAGGGCCTACATACGTGATTGGTGAGTCCACTGTAAAAGCATCATTAAACAGCTGCATGTGCCTGCATGCCTGCATGTTATTTTAATGTTGTGCACTGTATCTCTAATTTCACATTCAGTATCTGCAGTGTCGCCCCAATGTGTGAGTCCAGGCACTCAGATAATTCCGCTTTCACCTGGTAAGTTAAAAAGAAGATGGTCACATGAGTAATTATGCATTTTAGGATTAGCAATATTGTAGTGTGTGTTAACTGAAATCTTCCTCTTCCAGCCGATGGCACAGTTGCCCCGCCAGAGCTCACTGGTTCCGTACTTCCAGTTGGCTCATCTTCAGACAGTGCATGCCAGGGTTTGCCACCAGTATCTGTAGACACACTCTCCCCTACAAAAGGTGAGCTCAGGGTTTGATGACAGCAAATATGTGCCTGTGCTAGGTTTTATCAAAGTGTAGATATGTATTAAGGATACAAGGTCTACAAACTTTAGAATCTGTTCAAAAACCAATTTTTTATTTTCAGTGTCTCCATTGTTAAAGTATGTCATTTCTGCAGCACTAGCATCATTAGACAGAGTAGTAAAGATAATGGCAGATTTGCACAGAGCCCCTAAGGAGACATAAGTACGAGATGGGAGAAATTATATTTGGAATAAATTCTATTCATATTTCAATGCTTTTGAGTTTGCTTGCAAAACATTTGCGTTTTCTTGCAAAACTATTGTGTTCCCCCGAGAAGCTTTGCGTTCGCTCACAAAAGCACTGAAATATATTTTTTCCTCCCACCTCATATTATTTCTATCACGAACGTTTTGCAAGCAAATGCAACGTTTTTCAGGGGAAATGCAAAAGTTTTGCGAGCGAACAATGCAAAAGCATTGAAATATCATTTTTCCTCCCATCTCTCTCTTTTTTATTTTTTAACCATCAGCATGTCCTAAAGGGCTCCATAGATTTACACTTTTTGGGCAAATTATTCTATAAATGTATTACTTATGAAACAGAAAAAGAAATATCACCATTTAATCATTATTCCAAAGGCTTACACACATCCAAACAGGATTGTGCAAGACTTATTATTTTGCTTTGAACACATTTAGAGTAGAGGTTGTTCAAAATGGGTTATTAAATGGCCAATATGGTCATCTAGAAAGAGAGCAGGTCAATATAATGTTGATATATATATATATATATATATATATACACACAGTGGAAAGTATTCAGACCCCCTTAAATTTTTCACTCTTTGTTATATTGCAGCCATTTGC